AGAACCGGTTCCGTATTTTCCGATTCCATGGCATCGTTTGGCAGCTGCTGAACGATTCTTTTTTCGATTCCCGCAGCACCAGAGCCTAGAGCGCCGGCTCTAGGGAGCACGACTTACGTCACGTTTTTTACGTACGTTACGTAAATTACGCAAGTTAGAAGAACTATTCGAGGAGGAAGACAGCGAGCTGCGGTCACTTTGTGAATCAAAGCCCCGTCTTTCCTTAGCCCAGAGGGTAGATCAGGAAATCCAGCTCTATAAAAGCTTGCCCTCCATCCCCTGCAGGGATAGCGCCACACTGTGGTGCTGGAACAAGCAAGATACGCTGCCCTTGCTATCTGGACTGGCTGAAAACTACCTCTGTGTGCAGGCTTCCTCCACCCCATCTGAGAGGGTGTTCTCCATGGCTGGAGACACCATAAGCCCTGAAAGATCCCGTATCCTTCCAGAAAAAGCAGATATGCTCATCTTTCTGCAAAATAACTGTTAATTTTCCCTACTACTGTTTTATAATTAGTATTTTTTGTTATTTAAAATAGGTTATTATCCCATCATTTGTTATTAGACATTGTTGGTTATTAAGTTTGTTCTTGTATTCATTTTTCATTTAAACACAAATGTTACTCCAGTTTCACATTTCCTGTGGACATCTTGATCTTGTTGATTTTGTAAGATTGTGCAATAGTTAAGTAAACACAGTTGATGCTGATAATCAAACTGTTTGTTCTCCTTTTTTCCCCAAATTGGAATCGAAAAAAGAATCGATAAAGAATCAAATCGTTTCATAGAATCGAAAAGGGAATCGGAATCGTGAAAATCTTTTCAATTCCCAACCCTACAGACAAGTATAGTCAGGATGACCCCAGTTGTTCTTCACCTCTAAGATAATGTAGCGAAAGGAGCCAGTTTTATGATGAGGAATGTTAAAGGTCTGTAGTGGGTCTCCGTTTTCATCATACAGAAAAGTTCCCAGAAGTGTCTCCTCATTTTCTATATCTTCCTTTCCATAGACCGAAAAGTCTTTTAAAGCACTTGAGACACCGTTGAAGGTTAACAGTTTGGAAATGTGACCCAAGGAGACATGGCTGATGGAGACTTCGTAAGAAAGGGCAATTGAAATACGTCCTTGGGAACCTTCAAAGGCCCAGCACTCCCCTGGAACAAAACGCGATCTTCCCTCAATAACAATGTCCGGGGGTACGGATGCTTTTCTCCATGTAAATCCAAAAAATTTGCCTTTAGCACGATATGTGGGTGAGGTCATCTCATGTAAAATCTTTGCCCCCAAAGATTTCAGAGCAAAGTTAGGCAACACATCTGCTGATGGTAGAAGGTAGCCAAGCTTCTTCTCCAAAGTCAACAGCTTTTCCTGGAGCTCACTAAAGAGACTTTCCCGTTTCTTACATCCTGGGGTTACGACCGTGTCTGTATTTCTCCATGTAACAAGATACTCTTGATACTGCCGACCCAAGGTAGTAGTCATGCAGACACATCCATAAGACAAGAAGAGGAGAAAAGTGATCCAACAAACTGGTTTCAGAATATTTCTTCTCTGATATTCGTTCCTGCTGTAGTCAAAGCAGGCTTCTACGGGGACGTGGGGTAGTTCTGTGTTGACTTGAAATTCTTTTCTCCGTTTTTTTGTTGGTTGGACTCTGGTCTCCTTGTGAGGAATAGCCGATTCCAAATAAGGATTGTAATGCCCCTTCAACAGTAGACGAAGGCTTCTTCTGGGTATGAATGTGGTAGGCATGATTTACTGTAGCTCACTGTACTTTAGTGAAATAAAGTGAATCTAGCTTCAGCATTTCAAAGTGTGTCTATTTCAGCTGCACAGAAAGAATTCTGAGTCCTTTCATATACTGTTCCAAGAGCCTATGATGTAACACGCCCACCTATGACATCATAGAGCCACTGAGCTCAGTGGCTCCGCCCACACACATTAATGTGGTAGGCATGAGTTACTGTAGCTCACTGTGCTTTAGTGAAATAAAGTGAATCTAGCTTCAGCATTTCAAAGTGTGTCTATTTCAGCCGCACAGAAAGAATTCCGAGTCCTTTAATATACTGTTCCAAGAGCCTATGATGTCACACGCCCACCTATGACATCATAGAGCTACTGAGCTCAGTGGCTCCGCCCACAAACATTAACTGTGGGATTCTATAATGGATTTTATGCACGCAGCATATCACATCTGTTGTAACCCCAGGATACATGTACGCATCCAGTGCATTACTAGGCAATTCCAGGCATAAATGACAAGCTAGTTTAGCTTTGTTTATTAAACTAATATCTTTGCTCACTTAATTCTATATGCTTGTTTTCTGCTTTTTTATTTCGTTCTATTTTTAGTGTTGTTTATGACAGGAGGCAGGGAAAGCAGAATAAAGTGTTAGCCTTGCCGCATACAGCTAGCCAAGCCTTATAGCTAAACCAGGTCCTGTAAAAAGACAGTGTGACCGTCTCCATCTGTCTTCTGGGCTAGTGATTGATTTTAATGTTCGGCTGATCAGGTCCACACAGTTTCACCTCCAGCTTCGCTTGGTAAGTTCTTCAAAGGATTATACTTCTGCGACATGACCTGTCACCACTGGCACTACAACTGTGACGACAGATCATGCCACCATGAGCTTTTCTATACTTCTGGAGCTACTGCACATGTACAACTTTTAACAAGAATCAATTGGCAAAGATTTTTGCGCCCTTGGGCAAAAATACGTCACCAATCCGATGAAAAATTAAAACAGCTTTAATTGCCACTTAAGATTAAATATTAATCTTGCACATCTAAAAAAATATGTATCAGTATATTTCAAAAATATTAAATTTTATAATCTAATTTTATTTTTTTCATCTTATCCAAGGTCATTGGGTGGGTGGGGCGGTGACCTAGCACAGTCTATTGGCCAGCTGCATCTGCCATCTGTCTGTCTATCTATCTGTCTGTCTCTCTGTCCATCTATCTGTCTATACATACATTCAGATAGATAGACAGATAGATAGATAGATAGATAGATAGATAGATAGATAGATAGATAGATAGATAGATAGATAGGTAGACAGATAGATAGATAGATAGACAGATAGACAGATATAGACACCTTGATAATCTTCACGTATAGTTATATATAATCACACACCTATTTATTTTTAATACTTCAAAATCTATATATGCCCATCTTTATCTAAAAACAACAGTCTTTACAGTATGCAAGCTAAAGACCTTGTAAAAGAATTGCCTAAAACAGACGCTACCTGCTCTCTGCCACATACGATAGTGCAGTGAAGTCGACTTGTGAATCTGCGTCCAACGACGTGTATACGTATATATGTCTGTGGTTCTAACCATGTTATTGAAGGAAGTATTCCTTCTGATTTCCTCCTTCATTTTAGATGTGAATAATCTATGCCTTTTACAGGGATATGTACCTCAGGCTTTTAAGAAAGCTGTAGCAAAACCTTTACTTAATAAATGGTCTCTGGGCCCGATGACTTGCTCAATTACAGACCTAAAACATATTACAGGCCTATATATTATAGACTAGGTCTTCCTTTCTTATCTAAAATTCTCAGGAAAGTAGTTTCCAAAGAAATGTGTGACCACTTACAGCATAATGAACTTTTTCAAGAGTTTCAATCTGGTTTTAAAACTGATCATTTCACTGAAACAGCTCTGGTGAAAGACACTGATATTCTTATGGACTTAGATAATGGACTTGTATCAGTACTTGTCCTGTTAGATCAAAATGTTGCATTTGACACAATTGATATCAATATTTTTTTTTGAAATACTTGAATATTATGTTGGAATAAAGGGAACAGCACTAGGCCTTACATCTGTCCATACATACTACATTAATTTTAAACTTCTTCCGTCCCTTTTGCTTCAACAATATCAGAGGAGCAACTTCAACATTGCCATTCTGTTCCCAAAAAGTCTGTAATATCTTTTTTGATTTGGCCCTTTATATGATTCAAAATATGTATGTTTAGTCTCCATGAGGTTTTTCTTTGAGGTTGTTTAGGATTTACTTTTATATACAGGGAGCTGTAATCAGAAAGGTCCATAATCCCTATGCTGCAGTCATTGACCCTGTGTAAATCTTTACCAAGAATGAAAAGTAGTCATTACAGTCTGTTCTCAGTGATAGCCTGTAAAATGTTTGTTATGTACAGTACTTATTTTAGTCTATTCCTGCTGATAACTGGCACTCCCTTACTGTCCTTTCTTCAAGAAAATCAACATCCCATGACATTTTATTTTATAGTCATGCTGGATCCTGATATCTAAATACCTGTAGTTTTTCCATGTAATATCACTCTCCACATGTAGTATAAATATTTGGATGTCTAGAAATTAATTTCAGATCTCCATATTCTTAATATTACCTGTCAAAATATTTTTATTTTCACTATGAAAAAACGCATTCAGATATCACAAATACATATTCAGTCAAGCTGATGAATGTCAAAATGGCTATTTTAAATGTTTAAAAAATTTTTGATATCCATCCATCCATTATCTGACACGCTTGTCCCGAGTGGGGTCGCGAGGGGTGCTGGTGCCTATCTTCAGCTGTCTATGGGCAAGAGGCGGGGTACACCCAGGACAGGTCGCCAATCCATCGCAAGGCAACACAGAGACAAACAGGACAAACAACCATTCACACACAAACTCACACCTAAGGAGAATTTAGACAAGTCCTTTAACCTAACAGTCACTTTTTTTGTACTGTGGGAGGAAACCGGAGTACCCGGAGAGAACCCACGATTGGCCATGCAGAAAGACCCCAAACCCAGAACCTTTTTGCTGCAAGGCAGCAGTGCTACCTACTCTACCACTGAGCAGCCCCATTTATTGATATATAAAACTTAATATTTACTAGTATATTTACAGCTATAAATAACCATTACTAAAAAGCAAATTCAAAATTCAACTTCAGCAATTTAAATAACTTGTTGATTTTTTTATCCTTTAAGTCTGATTCACCTTCACATTTTCTTACATCCATCCATACATACTACACTAATTTTAAACTACCCCTCTCTCTTTTTGTCCTTTTCGCTTTACAGGTTTTTCATTCTGCTATTTTTCCATGCACTCGGAAGCCATACAGACAAGTATAGTCAGGATGACCCCAGTTGTTCTTCACCTCTAAGATAATGTAGCGAAAGGAGCCAGTTTTATGATGAGGAATGTTAAAGGTCTGTAGTGGGTCTCCGTTTTCATCATACAGAAAAGTTCCCAGAAGTGTCTCCTCATTTTCTACATCTTCCTTTCCATAGACCGAAAAGTCTTTTAAAGCACTTGAGACACCGTTGAAGGTTAACAGTTTGGAAATGTGACCCAAGGAGACATGGCTGATATAGACTTTGTAAGGAAGGACAATTGAAAAACGTCCTTGGGAACCTTCAAAGGCCCAGCACTCCCCTGGAACAAAACGCGATCTTCCCTCAATAACAATGTCCGGGGGTACGGATGCTTTTCTCCATGTAAATCCAAAAAATTTGCCTTTAGCACGATATGTGGCTGAGGTCATCTCATGTAAAATCTTTGCCCCCAAAGATTTCAGAGCAAAGTTAGGCAACACATCTGCTGATGGTAGAAGGTAGCCAAGCTTCTTCTCCAAAGTCAACAGCTTTTCCTGGAGCTCACTAAAGAGACTTTCCCGTTTCTTACATCCTGGGGTTACGACCGTGTCTGTATTTCTCTGTGTAACAAGATACTCTTGATACTGCCGACGCAAGGTAGTAGTCAGGCAGACACATCCATAAGACAAGAAGAGGAGAAAAGTGATCCAACAAACTGGTTTCAGAATATTTCTTCTCTGATATTCGTTCCTGCTGTAGTCAAAGCAGGCTTCTACGGGGACGTGGGGTAGTTCTGTGTTGACTTGAAATTTTTTTCTCTGTTTTTTTGTTGGTTGGACTCTGGTCTCCTTGTGAGAAATAGCCGATTCCAAATAAGGATTGTAATGCCCCTTCAACAGTAGACGAAGGCTTCTTCTGGGTATGAATGTGGTAGGCATGATTTACTGTAGCTCACTGTACTTTAGTGAAATAAAGTGAATCTAGCTTCAGCATTTCAAAGTGTGTCTATTTCAGCTGAACAGAAAGAATTCTGAGTCCTTTCATATACTGTTCCAAGAGCCTATGATGGCATACGCCCATCTATGACATCATAGAGCCACTGAGCTCAGTGGCTCCGCCCACACACATTAATGTGGTAGGCATGATTTACTGTAGCTCACTGTACTTTAGTGAAATAAAGTGAATCTAGCTTCAGTATTTCAAAGTGTGTCTATTTCAGCTGAACAGAAAGAATTCTGAGTCCTTTCATATACTGTTCCAAGAGCCTATGATGGCATACGCCCATCTATGACATCATAGAGCCACTGAGCTCAGTGGCTCCGCCCACAAACATTAACTGTGGGATTCTATAATGGATTTTATGCACGCAGCATGATATCACATCTGTTGTAACTAGTGTTGCACCGATACCGATACCAGTATCGGACGGGGCCCCGATACTGCCCTAAAATGGTGGTATCGGCGAGTACCAACAAATAGGGCACCGATACCATTTTGAGAGCCATAAGTTTATTCAACTATTGTCACCCATTCCTGGCAGGCAATAAAAAGCTCTACTGGATTCACTTTGTATTAGATTTTTTCCTGCTTCACAAAGGTAGGCAGCAGCTTGACAAAGCCATGATGGCAATTATTTTACATTATTATGGTATCGGTATCGGCCGATACTTCACAGCCAGGTATCGGGTATTGGTATCGGGGCCAAAAAATGGCATCGGCGCAACACTAGTTGTAACCCCATGATACATGTACGCATCCAGTGCATTACTAGGCAATTCCAGGCATAAATGACAAGCTAGTTTAGCTTTTTTTATTAAACTAATATCTTTGCTCACTTAATTCTATATGCTTGTTTTCTGCTTTTTTATTTCGTTCTATTTTTAGTGTCGTTTATGACAGGAGGCAGGGAAAGCAGAATAAAGTGTTAGCCTTGCCGCATACAGCTAGCCAAGCCTTATAGCTAAACCAGGTCCTGTAAACAGACAGTGTGACCGTCTCCATCTGTCTTCTGGACTAGTGATTGATTTTAATGTTCGGCTGATCAGGTCCACACAGTTTCACCTCTAGCTTCGCTTGGTAAGTTTTTCAAAGGATTGTACTTCTGCGACTTGACCTGTCACCACTGGCACTACAACTGTGACGACAGATCATGCCACCATGAGCTTTTCTATACTTCTGGAGCTACTGCACATGTACAACTTTTAACAAGAATCAATTGGCAAAGATTTTTGCGCCCTAGGGCAAAAATACGTCACCAATCCGATGAAAAATTAAAACAGCTTTAATTGTCACTTAAGATTAAATATTAATCTTGCACATCTAAAAAAAATATGTATCAGTATATTTCGAAAATTTTTAATTTTATAATTTAATTTAAATTTTTTTCATCTTATCCAAGGTCATTGGGTGGGTGGGGCGGTTCCCTAGCACAGTCTATTGGCCAGCTGCATCTGCCATCTATCTGTCTATCTGTCTATCTATCTGTCTGTCTCTCTGTCTGTCTGTCTCTCTGTCTGTGGTATCTGTCTATACATACATTCAGATATATAGATTAGATAGATAGATTAATAGATAGATAGATGATAGATAGATGATAGATAGATGATAGATAGATAGATAGATAGATAGATAGATAGATAGATAGATAGATAGATAGATAGATAGATAGATAGATAGATAGATAGATAGATAGATAGATAGATAGATAGATAGATAGATAGATAGATAGACAGATAGATAGATAGACAGATAGACAGATAGACAGATAGACAGATATAGACACCTTGATAATCTTCACGTATAGTTATATATAATCACACACCTATTTATTTTTAATACTTCAAAATCTATATATGCCCATCTTTATCTAAAAACAACAGTCTTTACAGTATGCAAGCTAAAAACCTTGTAAAAGAATTGCCTAAAATAGACGCTACCTGCTCTCTGCCACATACGATAGTGCAGTGAAGTCGACTTGTGAATCTGCGTCCAACGACGTGTATACGTATATATGTCTGTGGTTCTAACTATGTTATTGAAGGAAGTATTCCTTCTGATTTCCTCCTTCATTTTAGATGTGAATAATCTATGCCTTTACAAGGATATGTACCTCAGGCTTTTAAGAAAGCTGTAGCGAAATCTTTACTTAATAAATGGTCTCTGGGCCCGATGACTTGCTCAATTACAGACCTAAAACATATTACAGGCCTATATATTATAGACTAGGTCTTCCTTTCTTATCTAAAATTCTCAGGAAAGTAGTTGTGACTAAGAAATGTGTGACCACTTACAGCATAATGAACTTTTTCAAGAGTTTCAATCTGGTTTTAAAACTGATCATTTCACTGAAACAGCTCTGGTGAAAGACACTGATATTCTTATGGACTTAGATAATGGACTTGTATCAGTACTTGTCCTGTTAGATCAAAATGTTGCATTTGACACAGTTGATATCAATATCTTTTTCAGAAATACCTGAATATTATGTTGGAATAAAGGGAACAGCACTAGGCCTTACATCTGTCCATACATACTACATTAATTTTAAACTTCTTCCGTCCCTTTTGCTTCACAGGTTTTTCATTCTGCTATTTTTCCATGCAATCGGAAGCCATACAGACAAGTATAGTCAGGATGACCCCAGTTGTTCTTCACCTCTACTATGATGTCATAGTTCCATAGTGGTGACAGAATGCTCAGTGGCTCCGCCCACACACATTAATGTGGTAGGCATGATTTACTGTAGCTCACTGTGCTTTAGTTAAATAGAGTTAATCTAACTTCAGCATTTCAAAGTGTGTCTATTTCAGCTGAACAGAAAGAATTCTGCGAATTGTGAGTCCTTTTATATACTGTTCCAAGAGCCTATGATGTCATGTGCCCCGGTGGTGACAGAAGGCTCAGTGGCTCCACCCACACACATTAACTGAGGGATTCTATAATGGATTTTATGCACAGGCAGCAGGATTTTTTTTTTTTTTTTTTGTAATTTCCTTTATTTAACCAGGTAAACCCAGTTGAGTCTGGATCTCATTTTCAAGGGGGACCTGGGCAGATATCTGCAATATAATGCAAACTGGTTACAAAAATAAAACCAATTAATACATATGCACAAATATAAAACAACAAAAAATATTTAAAAGCAGTGACACTGTTTCATAGAAGCTTGTTGTCTATCTTTAAGAACAGCTCGAAATAAGTCCAATGAAATAGTGCCTGACATCTTGAGCTCAGACTGGACCTGATTCCACACTGTAGGAGCCAACACACTGAATGCTTTCTTTTCTTTATCAGTTCGAACACGAGGAACATGTAGAAGAATAAAGAAATTTGAGCGTAAAAAATGTGAACCACTAGATCCATGCAAAAGAGAGCTTAAGTATGTTGGTGTTAGTCCAAGGAGAGATCTATAATAGGATCGTCCAATTATTGTTTCTCCGAACACTTAAAGGATGCCAATCAGCTTTTGCATACAAATCACAATGATGTATCAAATGTTTACTACCAGTTATAAACCTTAAAGCACAATGATAAACAGTATTAAATGATTTCAGACATTTGGTTGAAGCATTCATATATAAAACATCTCCATAATCCAGAAGTGGCAGGAATGTTGTTGCAACCAACTTACTTCTAGCTTTGAGTGAGAAACACGATCCATTTCGATAATAAAACTCAATCTTCATTTTCAATGTTCGTAATAGATTTGCTATGTGATTTTTAAAAGAAAGTTCATTATCTAGAATAAAACCAAGATATTTATAATTACTCACTAACTCAATTTGTGCACCTACTGCAGTGGTAAGGAATAAAGGGATTTCTGGTAGTTTAGCAGAGTGTGAGAAGACCATTGCCTTAGACTTATCCACATTCAAAACCAGCTTCAAAGTTTGTAAACGTGTTTGAACTACATTAAAAGCAGACTGTAAATACTGTAGTGCCTGTGATAATGAATAAGAGTTGCAGTACAATATTAATTAATCTGCATAAAAATGATAAGAAGCATTTGACAATTTGACACACAAGTTATTTAGATAAATGGAGAATAAAAGTGGACCAAGAATTGAGCACTATTTAAAATAGTGAGAGTAGAAGAGGTGAAGCCAGCTAATTAGGCTCTCTGGGTACTGTCTGACAAGTAATCAGCTATCTACATGGTAGCTTGATGTGAGAGCCCAACTTTGTGTAGAATTTCAATTAAAAGCATGTGATTTACTGTGTCAAATGCCTTTGATAGATCGATAAACAAAGCAACACAATGTTTTTGTTATCGAGAGCTTGGATCAAATCATTAAAAAAAACTTTAAAGTTGCAGTACTAGGATTTTTTCTAAAACCAGACTGTACATTTTGTAAAATACAAGTAGAATCTAAAAAAATCTTTAATTAATCTGCAACTAATTTGAAAATTTTTGCTAGGATACATAATTTAGAAATTGGTCTGTGATTGTTTACCTGCGATCAGGGGCGGATTTACCATTAGACAAAACTAGGCAGTTGCCTAGGGCCCCGAGTTCCTGGGGGGCCCCCTAAACTCCTTTTACATGTATGGTTAATACAGCTATTACTTATTTGTGCACATTAATTATGTTTTTCATAAAAATCCTTTCGCTAAAATGCCATTAAAATGCTTATAATATTAAGTGTGTCTTGGGGCCCCCCCTACAGCGTCCACTACATTGGTTCAGTCCATTTTCTGCGCATGGGTAGAAAGGTCCAAACATACGGCAGCAAACTATTTGAAAACAAACGGCGCGAAGAGACGATACGAGCAGAGCGGGGGAGAAGAGAAAAGAAAGGAAAGGAGAGAAAGATGAAAAGAAGTTACCCTAGCGGTGCTGAAAAGAGGAGAAAGAAGAATGAAAGTAGGAAGCTGCTTTCAAAGTTACCGAAAATGACTGACTTCCCCCCAGATTCCACATACTCCGTCAGCGCTCCGCCCCACTGGCGTACGTCGTGCGGAGCGCTCGTCTTTCATGTAAATCAATGAGAGCTGTTCCACATCCACCGCTACTCCTCCGCACGTCTCCGTCCACTAGGGGTGTGCAAAATAATCGTGATGAT